TTCCTATTCTTAGATATTTATGTTATTACCAGCTTTTGTCATGAATAACACTGTAGTAAATACTCTTAAAGCCAAATCTTTGCACCTTTTAGTTATTTCATTAGGATAAATAACAAGAAATAAAATTGTGTTGTCAGGCTTTACATTTTTAAGGCTTTTGGTGTGTTTCCAAAATTGCTCTCTAGAAAGTGTGTTTCAATTTACACTCCTCATCAGTAGTGTCTGCTTTTATCCCTCTCTCTGTACACATGATGGTTATTTTGTATTTAATAGCTTATCAGATACCAGAAAGTAGCATATCAAAAATAATTTGTATATCATTCAGGCATAGTTAGGATGTGAAGGCAGTTAAACTGGGACAGTTCATTAACTGTTGAGGTTAATTTGGTTGGATAGGTGAGTGTACCTTTCCTTTCTTACTGGAGGCTACAAATTTGAACATTTGGTCAAAGAGAGAAACCTTTTTAATTAAAGGAATAATATTATTTATTTGAGTGCTTTACCAGGTCAGTTCAGAACACTCTAAGAATTCAAATATCAGGTTTATTATCACATATATGTAGCACCCAACTCATTTTGTTATTATGTATTGATTTCTAAATGTTTAAGAAATATTAAAAGTAGTTTATGGCAATTTTTAATATTCAAAATTTAATGATCAAAAGATAATGAAGGGAAGTTTATCCATCTCTTCATTTTTCCCTGCCATTTACTCTCTGGATTGTGAAGAATTCTGGGGGTCTGAAATTTTATCCTGCTTGCACACTAATAAGCTAGTCTGTTACCATTTCATGAATGCTAGTAGAAGACAGACTCCATTTTCTTAGCACTTTGACTTGCTAAGTTGTCATTACTTAGCTCTTGTTAGTCAAGTAATCAGTTGAGCTCAGCAAGGATAAATAAGGCTTTAAAAAGCTTCTAACATAGAAAGATCACATTAATTATGATCAGAGGTAGAATAAGAAAAGGTCAAACAACATAAAGTGGTATCAACATAGTTCTTTAAGGAATCTAAGGAAGTCAAAACTATCTTACTGTTAAGAGGATTCTACAACATTTGAATTTGGTCTTGGATTTCAACAAGCCCAATGTATGTAGCTGGGTCCATGAGTAGAGAGGAAATACCATGAACAGTGGCATGAGAGGAAGACAACATATGGTTAGGATGTTTCTAATGTATTCTGGAACTAGTGAATGCCTATGGAGTGCATGCCTTCCTTTTATCTACCAGAAAGTCTGTTGGGATATAATTAGATTATATTTGTTTACATGCTATAAATATAAATTTATGCAAAGTTGAGTTTATGAAAGTTAAAAAATTGACTTAATAGAAGCATACCTTTATTCAGGTGAAATGATTGCTGAGTTGCAGCCCAGAACTTATTTGTGATTTTTAAGAACTATATATTTTTGTTGATTTCAGAGAGGAAAGGAGAAGGAGAGAGAGATAGAAACATCAGTGATGAGAGAGAATCATTGACCAGCTGCCTCCTTGCAAGCCCCCTACTGGGGATCGAGCCCACAACCCAGGCATGTTCCCTGACCTGGAATCAAACCATGTCCTCCTCTTTCATAGGTTGACGCTCAACCACTGAGCCACCGTGACCAGGCTTATTTGTGATTTCTGCTTTTCTTTGCTTTCTGCTTTTAGCTTCTTCCTCATCAGTATCAGTGTATTGCATGTATGTTATATAAGAGATATATTAGGTGTAATTGTATGGTAAAGATAAACCAAGGGAAAAAATTCAAGACTGGTTTATTGTAACGTTAGTAATTATAAAAATAGATGTGAAAAGTAAAGATAAAAATTACCCCAAATTTATGGCATAACTCTGCAAAAATATTTTATATTGCTCTCTACAAGCTATTTGTAAATCTGGATAGCCATTCTAATTCTTCTATAAATAGGTACCTACATCCAATTTGTATACTCAGAGAAGTGTCACTCCTTCCCATGTTCGTTCCATTTCACCTCACTCCACCTCTTGTAGGTCACTAACTTTAATGCTTTGTTGCTTATTTTCCCTGTTTCTTTTAGTGATGATAAGAAGCTATGTGCATTAAATTTTTTCTGTTTCTCATTACATACATATATATAAAATTTTTTAAAAATTCCCTTTCATGGATATATGTCATATGAAAGGGATTTTTTAAATTATAAAATTTAAGAAAATGCATGTGTCTGTTTATAATTATTTTTCACAGTTGTACAGTGCTCTTTTGAATGATAGTTTATTTGACCAGTCTCTTATATTTGGACATTTAGATAGATTCAAATATTTTGCAATTACACATATTCTTGTAATGAGTAACTTCATGTTATAGATTTTCACATTGTTTAAGATACATCTTAAGGGTTAATTCCTAGAAGTGGGATTGTTGGGTTGAAGGGAAATTTCGTAGTTTTGTTAGTGCCAAATTCTCCTCCATAGAGTTGTACCATTTTGCATTCACACCAGCAATATATGGATGACAGTACCTATGTTTTTCACAGCCTTGCCAACAGAGTATATATGTTATCAAAGATAAGCAAAGCTGGACACATACTAATTAAAGTGGTAAGAACAGATTTTAGTCAGTACTATATTATTGGAGTAAGGAAAAGAGTCTGGCAGAACTCAAGTTCCATTTGTACTGAGGTGACTGGGCATTTTAAAGAGAGAATGAGGGAATAGGGAGTGAGTGAGTGAGTGAGTGAGTGAGTGGAGGCTCAGTAGAGTCAAGGAAGCGAAAAATTACAAAAAGCTGGAAGGGGTGGTTGGTCCATGTGAAACCAACTGGGTTTTGCTAACTGGGGCTTATTGAAGTTAGGCTCCCACCCTCCAAGGCTGGAGGACAGGGGCCCTATCTTCCCGTGTTAGCTGGAACAAATAGTACATTCTTTTGGCAGCCTTGAATTTTCTCAGGCAGGCAGTTTAAAGGGACTAGAGGCATCCTAGGGATGCCTCCTGAGCTGTTAGAAGACTATATTCGTATTTTGTTCAAATCTTTATAGACCAAGGTTGAGGCCTAATAGAGAAGAGGGCTCAGAGGAGCCTGGCTAGAGTTTGGTCAAGGACAGAATCTTTGCCAGTGGTCATCTTAACAATGTTTACCAACCTTATGGGTGAGAATTAGTATCATTATAGTTTAGTTTACATTGGTCTTATTGCAGTTGTCCCAACGCTATTTATGACAAGACTATCTTCACCTAAGTGAAGTAATGTGCTATCTTTATTATATGCTATATTTTTACATCAGGTTGGATCTATTTCTGGACTTTTTAATTTATATCTCAGGAAATTCAAAATTATCTCAGGCAGAACTGACATCTTGATGATGTTGAGACATCACAACCAAGAATAAGGAATATCTTTCTATTTTCAAATCTACTTTATGTCTTTCAGCTTTCTTTAGAGAGTTTTGGGTCATTTCTTGTTAAGCTTATTTCTAAACATTTTTTATTTTTTGTTATTGTAAATGGAGGTTTCTCATTCAGTGTATCTTCTAAATGGTTATTATTTGTGTATATGAATGCTATTTGTTTGCATGATAAATATATCCTGCTACCTTGCTGAATATTTTTATTGTTTGAGTTAGCTGTATAATTGATTTTTTAGGGATTTTCAGTATTATTAGGTCATGTGCAGATAGAAATTGTATTTTTTCTTTTCCTATTCTTTTGCTTCTAATTGTTTTCTTTAGTCTAATTGCACTGGTAGTACCTTTAGTACATTGTTAAATATTAGTGGAGATAGAGGACATTTTTGTCTTGTTCTGACCACAGTGGGTTTGCCTTATCGAGTTTCCTCATTTAAGGAAATATCTATCATTTTTATTTCTAATGAGTTATTATTAGTAATGGCTGTTGACTTTTGTCAGAAGTTTTCTTTAGACGGATTAATATGGCAAATTATATTAACAGATTTTATAAGATTGAATTACCATTCTTGGCATAAACCCCACTGAGGCAATCTGACTCCAGAGCTTAACAATTTCTTTATTTTACTACTTCCTAGTTGAGTTTCAGAGATTCGCTATGCTTACACAAAAGTATAGTGAGTCATACAAGTTAGTATTTTTATTAATTGCTAGATGAGTTTAGAGGAGGGAAAGGTCATTATGGAGATTAAAAAAACTTTTGAAAGGGAGAGGATCATTACCAGCTGTGATATCCTGAGCATCAATCACACTGTACCTGTACTTGCTATATATAGCTTATTTCTCCTTGCTCTTTACCTTGGAGGGCATACACCAGAGTCTTAACCTTTTGGTGTTCTGTCAGCATGATTAGTGGTGGTGGGCTGATTACAAACTGAAGGAATGCTACAAAATCTCAAATGATGGAGCAAATGCTGCATTATAACAGATAGGAAGCCTGCAAAATAGAATGGAGACATCATTCTACCTGCAGGGGGAAAAAGGCAGAATGACAACTGATGCTTTTATAAAGCATAGAGTGGGAAACATTCATGGCTTTTTATTAGGGAGAAGATTTGGGACCACATAATGAAAATGTTATTGTCAGATATGGAAATATCTATATGTTATTTAGAGAATTTAGAGATTGTCAAAGGTATTTGCTTAATTTATACAAATGCAGTGATTGAATTGTAAATCTGACCTCTTTTTTTAAGTTGTTACTCAGCTCCAAGGATGAATATAAAGCTGTGTTTGCATGCTCAGAACCAGGTCTTTGAAAAAATACATTTGGGAAAGTTTACATTGCCACCTTTGAGAACACTTGTCAATTCAATAATTTTTATACTCTGATTCTCTGATTATAATTTGAATGAACTGATATCCCTTCCAAATACTAACAGCTATGTTGAAATAAGAATTACTTGAACAATATTTTCTTTCCATTGAACTTTCTCTTTATATATGCCAATGGAAGAAATTTTCTTAATCATGTCTAATTCTTGAATAAATTTTATTAATAACATAACAGTTTATTTTGATTTACTTTGTGTTAAAGTAGATGTAATAATTTGAAAGTTGACTCTTCTCATTTTCTTCAGCACATTACATCAGACAGCTATATTCCATGCCTTGCTGACCTGTGCAAAGCACTGTGGGAAGTTATGCTCAGCTATTATAGGACTATGGAATGGCATGAAAAACATGATAATGAGGATACCACTTCTGCTTCTGGTAGGAAATTACTTTGATTTTTTTAAAAATTACATTGTAACTATGCCATATTTCTGGAGCAAGGTGAAAGAAAAGGAACAGCATTCTTTTAGAATTCCAGGGACTATAGTGAACATATGTTAAATGTTTACCAAAGAAAGTGATTCAGCTACTATGAAAGCTCCTTTACCTTTGGGAATTAACTGGGCTAAAGGACTTCTTAAGTGACAAATAGTACCAGTTTCCAGGGATATGTGCTAATAGCTATAGGACTGAATTATTAAGAAAGGGCTTTAAAGGATATATATATTTAGTTGTAAACTAGATAAGACATTGATCTGTCCAGATTTACTATAAAATTAATGCTAAATGTTCAGTTTTAACTCGATTTTGCTAATTTTCAAATTATACTAATAAAGCTACATTCTGTGACTTAACAATTATATTGATACTTTTCTTCCTGAAAATATAGCAGAAATTAAAATTTTCATTAAAAATTATTTTTAAAATGTTTGTCTTTAAATGGAAAATCCAACTTTAAATATGCAATAGTCAGATAAATAAAGAACAAATCTTTGAGAAATTATAGTATTATATTTAAATTACTTTATTTGTATAGTTATATATCTTAAATGATTATGCTTGAATAATAACTAAGATTAAGTGTTCAAAAAACTTTAAAAAATAATAAATGATTTTATCAGCATTTTTTAATAGGGGCAAAATAAATTATAGTGCACTAGTTTTTTATATTACATACAATTTAATGTAGGTAGTCTATCAAGTTATTTTAGGAATTCCTAATTTCTGAGGTGATTGATTTTTGTTGTTGGGTGGGTGGAGGAACACCAAATCTTATTGCTTGATTAAACATATGATTTTGGTAGCATAGAAAATGTAAGTTTAATATTTGTCTTGACTCATGAGAAGCTCATAAATATAGATAGCAAAAAGTAAGAGGAAAATTTTATGGAAGCATTTTCATCCTCTTAGAAATATTGTCGGATATGGGGGATGAAGGAAGGAAAAGAGAAAACAGAGAAAAAGAGTGAGTACTGACCCAAGGTTCTTGATCAGTCTGTTTATAACTAATTCCTAAACTCTTATCCCTGTGCTATCTTGGAGCAATGCATGAGCTTTGTAATCAAATACTTGATTTTAAAATTTTTCCTGCCATTTACTAAAACTGAGAGCGTAAAGAAATTACATCATCTTCTCCAGGTCTCAGTTTGCTCCTTAAAATAGTAGGTTAAAAAACAAAACAAAAAGTCCCATAGGGTAAAATTTATTATTTATTAATTTATTGTTGAGAGAGAGACAGAGAGAGAGAGAGGAGAGAGAGAGACAGAGACATACATGGATTTGTTGTTCCACTTATTTATGTATTCATTGGGTGATTGAATTCTTGTATGTGTCCTGACTGGGAGTGAATCCACAGCCTTGGCATATCTGAGGATACTTTAAATGAGCTAAACCGGTCAGGGCCTGCTGTAAAACTTAGAGAAAATATAAAGTGCTTACACTGGTTGTTGTTAATATCATCAAAGAAAATGGATCAAGAAGTAATAATGAAATGTGCATAGTCCTTAAAAAAATATCAGTTTACTTAGGGAATTCCAGGATGCCAATTTTCTACAAGTTATATCCTGTTTTGGCAACCTTTGTTTTTTTTTCTAGATGTGGAAACTGTTAAGACATTTCAGCACCTCTTTTCCCTTTTCTACAACATTATTAAGGAGAGAACAAAGGAGAAGTTTGGAACAAAATTAACACATACTTAGATGTAAGAGAAGAGTTTAGGGGACTATGTATACATATATATTCAGCATGGCAACACCTAATAGTTTACATGAATAGTTGATCCTTGAACAACATGGGTTTGAACTGCCTGGGTCCACTTATACACGGATATTTTTCAATAAATGATATCATACTGTAAATGTACTTTCTCTTCCTTATGATTTTCTTAATAACATTTCTCTTTATTGTAAGAATACAGTAGATAATACATACAACATACAAACTTTTAGTTGACTTATGTCATCACTAAGGCGTCTGTTCAACAGTAGGCTATTAGTAGTTAAAACTTGGAGAGTCAAAATTATATCTGAATTTTTCGACTGCAATAACCCTTGTGTTCAAGTGGCAACTATATGTTTACATGTGTGTGTTTTCATGAGGTATAGAGTCAAAACTTAAAACTCTATCTGAGTCTTAATATACTCCTTCATCCTCTTTGTTGAAATTGCTTGACCCTAATGTGTATTTATTAAGACTGTCCAGGACTCTGATTAGTCTGGCAGTCAGCTGACAGTATCTAGGATTCTAAAATGTCACTTGTTCATCTGAAAGCATCCCTTTCATATTCACATTAAGGAATAAAATGTTAGGATTCAGTAGTTTGAGATTTATTCTTCACAGAACTTCATAGAACTGAAAGGGTCTCGAGAGTTCATCTGCTGTAGTTCCTGCGACTCCACTGGTATCGGGACACTTTCCCATTCTAAATGAAACTCTGAAGCTGTCTTTAGGTGCTCCGCCCTGAGCTGCTGGGCCCCTAGTAGCCAGACCTTACAGATAATAAGGCTTAAGCTGTGGGAGTGGTCAAAGGTATATTAGGCATGCACCTGGGGCCTGGCTCCTGAAAGGCCTTTTGTTGGTTACTAGTGGACACCCTGCTAGCCCAGATGAGATGATAACGTCACAGTTTTGTTATTCTGCACAGGTCATTCTCACCAAGGCAGAATCTTTTTAATATAAATGTGTATTTTCAGTTGCTTTTAGGGGAAAATTTGTTTGAAGCAGATCTTTGATCTTACATGTGGAATTGGACATTGTTAGATTATTTATCTGGAGTGGATAAAATTATTCTGAAAATTATAAATGTTTGTATCATTACCTCACTATATGAGTAGTTCTGCAATCTGTAATCTTGTTAATATGCCGATTAATTCATAATGGGGCTAATTGGTTCTGCAGTGCCCTGGTAGTAGGGAGTATCTGGGTCATTGAGAACTTGGTGTCTGGGATCACACTCCTCAACTTGCAATCACAACATGAGCTAAGTGGTCTTAGGTGTAAAGTACTTAACATTTCAGCTTCTAAGTTTATCTGTCTTAACAAATAGATTTAACACTAATAACTATTTTTTGACATTGTTTCGGTTGTATAAATATTGAATGTATTTTCTATATTTATATAGGCTTACAATATATGAGAACCCAAATGAGATTTTTTTTTAACAAAAATGTTACTGAGCACATAAAAAACATATACCATTTTTTATTTTCAGAAGGGAGTAATATGAGCACTGAAGAAACTAATTTTGATCGTGGCTACATTAAAAAGAAATTAGAACATGGACTTACACGAATATGGCAGGTTTGGTTTAAAAAAATTTTTTTTTACAAAAGCTATAGAAATCTTTATGTCAAAGTTGTTTCAGAAATTCAGTGCTTAAATTTTCTGTATTGTATTTATTGCATATTTAATCATATTTAGTTTTTCTTTGGAATAAGTCAGTCATTTAATTTAATTTTTATAATTTAGTTGACAATTCTATTTTATTATACATGGCAGTAGAAAAAGTTTTTTAAATTAAAAATCTCCATTAGAAATATTTCTCTTTTCTTTAATTGCATAATTGTTTTTAGTGTCCTAGCAAATGTATGTTTTCTTAAAGAAATTGCTTTTTTATTGAGATACTGTGTATTTTTATTTTATTTACTTGTGTTTTCTTTCCTTTTCTATTAATTTTGAACTAAATTAAAAGGATAACTAAATAGGTGATGTACTTGGGTTGGAATCTAATATAGAATGAAGAACTTTTTTCTAATTCAATGATTTTTGTGCCTTGAGGGAATCTTATATGTTTATTGCTAAATGTATATCTTCCTCAGTGTTTCTTTTGCAGTTTAGTAGCTCAATTATTGTTATCAGATACTAAATTTGTTAATTTCTTAAAGTTTGTTATTTCATAGATAAAAGTGTATAATTTTTTAAAATTTTTATTTCTTTGAAGCTTAGAAGACTGTAGAGCTGGTCTCTTAAAGTGTATTTTTTAGTTTCCTAATGAGGCTGATTTTTAGTTTGACAATCTTTTGCAGGATTTCTTTTGAAAAATTATTTAGGCAAATACAGGGTGGGGCAAATGTAGGCTTACAGTTATGAATGCATAAAATAGAGTTTATTCTAGTATTATTATTTATTATTGTATTATTTTTAACAGCTTAGACCTACTTTTGCCCCATCCTATATATACTGAAACATAAATTTTCTCAAGAATCACAAAGCAGCTATAATTTAGTGCTCTTCCAACTTTTGATAACTTTACATTGGATGTGCTATTTGAATTTTTAATTTATTATTTAAAGTATACTCATATGATGTAAGAGCTTCAAATTCTGTATTTTCCCAGAGTCAAATATGAGTTGGTTTTTTATTTAGTGTCCTAATAGACTCTAATTATACTTAGTTGAAATAGTAGAATTTATAGATTTTCTGGTAGTTCATTGTACTTTGAGATATTGACCTGGCATTTAACATAGCCAGTTTCCGTTCAGTCAGGCAACCTGATGTCATTCCTGATATAGAAAAATCTATTAATATACAGTTTCTAAAGCTATTCTTGTTTAAACATTTGGCCAGTTTAATAAAAGTCATCATGCTTTTGAGTATAGGTTATTGTGTTGTAGGTTTCAAGCTTTAGAATGTCTTCATCTCCATCACTCTGAAGTTCTTTTTGCATCACTAGCCCCAATTTTCAAATAGTTCTAGAACAGGACTTTGCATACTTTAGGAATTCATTGAGTATTTTTTAAATTGAAGTCAAAGACTCAATGCAATTGAAAAAAAGCAAAAGCTCTGAAAAACAATTTTTAAAAACATATTTAGCAGGCAAAACCTGACCTGAATTGAATTAGTTTGGTGGAACCTGACTAGTATTATCATTAAGCTTTTTATATTATTAATTTATCCCATTAGAGCAGTGGTTCTCAACCTTCTGGCCCTTTAAATACAGTTCCTCATGTTGTGACCCAACCGTAAAATTATTTTCGTTGCTACTTCATAACTGTAATGTTGCTACTGTTATGAATCACAGTGTAAATATCTGATATGCAGGATGGTCTTAGGCGACCCCTGTGAAAGGGTCGTTTGGCCGCCAAAGGGGTCGCGACCCACAGGTTGAGAACCACTGCATTAGAGTGAACGTTCATATGTTATGGGAATATTAATGTCTTTTAAGTTGGTATACTGCCCTGACCCCACACGGGGTGTTATATAATATATGCTATACATATCATAATACATTTCTAACTTCTGAAATCCCAAATTGCAAAGCACAAGTGGTCATGTGACAATTTGTAGACATTCATCATAAATATATTATAGAGATAATGATAAATGATTGAAAAACATAAGAAGATTAACCTTTCTGACATAAAACTAAACTCAAAAGCATAATCATTTTGATTTTTCATATGAAAACTTTTTAGAATTTTATGGCACATTTCCTATGCATTTTGACTCAAAAAAAAAAAAAAAGGGGGGCTGAGTCAATTATACTATGTGGAAGACTCTGTTCGTGGGTTTGAGAACATGGTGGTGAACCCATGGTCCTTGACCTCATGGGCATACAAACCTAACCATATGAAAGTTTTGGTTTTCCAAGATTTTCTTTTTCATCTTTAAATATTTAACTATATTTAAATATATTTATTCATCTTATTAAATATATTTAAATATTTAAATATAAAAAACATAAATATTTTCATCTTTAAATATGTGAGAAATGACATTTTTTAAATGCTTATTAGTCATTTCCTTTTTTTTTGTAGAGGTTACAATATTTCTACTTATTGTGAATTTGAGATTTTCTTCACATTTTAGTATGCCACCCACTTGTAAAATTATTCTTTGGGCATTTGAAAAAGAACTCTTTATTTCTTCTTTTTGTTGGTAACTAGATCCTACATGTATTTAAAGAAAGCTTATTATTAATTATACTAGAGGCCCGGTGCACAGATTTGTGCACTGGTGGGGTCCCTCGGCCTG